CACACGCACACGCCCCCCTCCCTCGTCTCCCGGGGTGTCGCTTCGCCTCCCAGCGTAGCGTGTCAAGCGCTTGTGTGTGTGTCTTCCGCGTTCGTCCCCTCCCGGATTCGCTCGGGATCTCCAGGGCGCGGGATTGGAAGAGGCCAGCGCGCAGCACGGCGGCTCACCGCGAGGACGCCCACGGGAGGATGAGGGAGCGCGCCCCACGGCCGCGCTCCAGCGCGCTTTCCTGACGGCTCCCCTCGCGGTTGGCTCGGACCTCGGAGGGGGCCGCTCCGCTCCCCTCCCCTCCGAGGCCATTTCCGGGCCCTGTGGGCAGGTGGGGGCGGAAACGCCCATCGGCGGGCAGCGGGCACGCGGCACCTGCTGGGCCACGCGCGGACGTCCCGCTTGAAATTTGAATCGGCACGAATCTCCGCCCCGCCACGCCGCCGGGGCTGCAGATTCGACCCCGGCCGGCGCGGGGCGTGTCCCCCGCTCTAATGAGCCGGGTGCCGCTCGGGCTCCGCTTGCTGCGGACGCTGGTGTCCCCGGTTCCCTTCCCTTCGGGCCGGGCGCCCTTGCGCGTCCGCCCGCCCTTCCACCCGGGCGAAACAGACAGACTCCATCTGCGCAAGGACTTTGTTTCTGGAGCACCTTTTAAAGGCTCCTTGTAAACCGACCTGGTTAAAAAGGTGGAAGTTGGCAGGAGCGCCACCGCGAATTCCCTTGCTGTGTAGCTCAGTAAATAGGATAATGGGGGAAAGTTTCCACTTGGGTCTTCCTTGGTAATTAGTCAACACATGAGCGAGATTTCTCTTTACTGCTAAAGATTCTCCAAGATGAAGACCCAAATCTATTTCACTCATTCTTAACAAGTCCCACGATTTTCCTACATTTTTTCCAGGATAAAAACAAAAATAGTTCGTGGTAAGCGAAGTTAAAAAAAAGTATCTCCTTAAGAGAGATACTATCAAAGTTTCAACTGAGTAAAATTGCAGTTTCTCCCCAAAACAAACAAACAAACGAAAAACAGATCCCTGCCTGAAAGCAATTATTTTAACGGCTAAAGTTTTAATTGTAAGCCTGAGCTTGCTTGCGGAATTTCTTACACAGCACAAGTACAGTTAAAGCTATTGTCAGTTACAGCCAGTGATTTGGGGTGAGATTGATTTATTTGTGGTAATTAAGCCTTAGGGTGTGCACATGACTGCTTAAACCAAATAACAGGACCACTCTATAATTATTTTAGGATACACAAAACCAACACAGTAAAGGAAATGCAACTTTTAACCTTGGTACAATTAATCTTTGGAAATACGGCACAAATTATATTCACCCGTTACTATAGAAGTCTCAGAATATAATTTAAGGTTAAGTAAATAAATAGCACTGCTTCTGGTGGGCACAAATTTGAAGTCATTACCACTAACCTATTTTCTTCCTACTTAATCATAGTTCGTCCTTTGGTTCAAGAAGTAAATGCGTATGACCTTCATCAAGTCATTGAAACTAGTGTATGTGGTATGCATTCTGCACCGGTTCATTTCCATAAAAGGAAGTTTTGTGGGAAGAATTAGGTAAAGAAGAATAATTTTGTGAAGGGAAGAAAAGTTTTAAATAGTCTGTATCAATCTTTTCCATAATGGTTGTATGTATGTTTGCGTCTGGGTCCCCAGTGCCTAGCACAACTCTTGAGTTTAGTAGATGCTCATAAATGTTTATTGAACTTTTAAAAAGCAAATAAAATTGTATGTTTTTTTAAACTGATGAAGTCATTTAAAAATATTAATACCTACGTTCTACCATTTTCTTTACTAGTTGCTAAGTATAAGAAAATAAGATAGTATTTTGAGTTCAGCAAACTTACAGGTATCAACTTTTTTTTAATCTGGACCTGGGAAGGTATGAACCCTATTATCTCAATTTTTCAGGGTAGAGGAATTGACTCATAAAGATTGTCCAGTGTCACACCACTCTTGCATCGTGGTGCAGCTGAAATTCAAGCATAGGCAAGGAACCATCTTACCTATTCTTCTATGTCATCTGCTGTGGATCAGGCCATGTCTTTGAGGTCTATGTAGTTCAGTATGTGGGAGAGAATATATTAACAAATTACGTTCTGATTTGTGAATAGGTATGGTTATGTCGCTAAATTTCAAGTATCGACTTAAAAGAAATCATTGAATGGGATTTTGTGGCCTTTCTTAAAGGAAGCAAATATATTCTGCTTCCTAAAATACATATATGAGGACCAAAATTCCTTCATCATCCTTGGTCCGTGAAGTGCGGTTGTTCTCGCAGCACAATATGCTGTTAGGACTAAGCAAGTCAGGTGTTGTCTCTACAGGCAGAGGAATCTTGAGACAAAGAGCGGCACTGCCTTCCTTAAGGTGACCTTAGCTCTCCATGTTGCCACAGGTACTTGAGCTGAGGAATGAAGACTTTCGGAGATACCTTTTAACGATATGTTTGAGTGACTAAGTTAAAATGATCGTTTTAATAAACATTTCACCTGTTCATAAAGATTCACATTCAAACAGAGCAAAGTAATTTGCCTAATGGTCTATGGGTGCATTTGTTAACTATGACAGAATTTGCAAACTGTGTTCTGTGACACCCTCAGGGTTAGCTTAAGGTCAGATTTAAAACAAAGCAAGACCTCTTTACCAGAATGGCTTTGCTTTACCTGTATTGGCGCACCAATGAGATTTTATTTGCAAACATGGTAATACTACTTAATAAACATGTATGGGATTTACTGCCTTGGAAGACTCCACTAGGCTGTTACATGCTTGAAATGCAGATGCTCTGGAGGTTTCCAGATTATTCAAAACTGTTATCTATAAAGCATTGGGATCTTCATCTTCCCTTTTCCATTGTTTACAGTATGTTCAGAAGATATTCTAAGAAAGATCTTGATCCAGCCTTGAATGTTTCAAACATTTTAGTGGATCTCCTCATTCAGCTGTGAAGAGGCCTTCACTCAATGAATATATCTTGGTCACATGTCTTAACATTCATAAACGTATGGCAAGCCTACTGCCTGTAGCTGACTGATAGAATTTATGTTCTACCCTTAATGTACAATGTAGACTATTTCTACTTCTCAAAGAATGTGCACTGAGATCTTTACAATTCAATACTCATCAAAAAGCTCAATAACATTTATGGAGAACTGTCTGATAGATACATAGCTATTTTCCCCTCTAGTTCAGGGTCAGCAAATATACAATACTGTTCTTGCTACTATCTTTTCCAAGCCTCTGGCCAACTTTAATCCATAACCCCTTTCTTAAACTGAGTTTAGACTCTTGCTCAAACACAATTCTTTCTGACTAGTGCTTCAGGCAGCCATTGGCATCTCATCAGCATTGGCATGCAACATGAAATCCATTTGCTATTTCACCTCTGGATACTCTTAAAAGCCAAACTGTCAGAAAGCCATGAACTTGAAATTCATCATTTTGTCCCCTTGTAAGATTCTTTCCTAGAATTGCTCTTTGGACTTATGTCATCAGCCTACATTACAATCATAAGAAAACCTCTTAGAAATGCATCATGTTTATTGTCGGGGCATTTTTGGAGTGGCTGTCTACTGAGGATTCTTTTTGAACATTAAAGGACAGAGGTTAAGTAGCACACCTAAATTCACTCAGTGAAGTGGGAGATAGAAATTGAAGCAAAGATCGCTTGATTGCATATCCTTTGCTCCTTTCTGCTTGGTGTCCTCAGACCTGCTCCCACCTCCCTCCCCAGCCTGCCTTCCTCCTGCTGCCTGAAAGCAGCCAGACCTTTACCTTGTTTGCGTGCACTGAGGCCCCTATTCTATTGATTCCGTTTTTGCCCTTCCTCGATTTTCTTTGCCTCTTCCTATCTTTCCTTAGAAACTTTTTCTAGATAAACCCTCCCTGCAATTACTCATCAGCTCACTACAATCTGAATTTGCTCCAGTCGTTTTCCTGGAATTACTTCATTGAAAGTCACTGATGACCTCCTAACTGCCAAATCTGATGACATCTTCAGTCCTCATCTTGGCCCATCTCTCAGCAATTTGACAATGTTGATCACTCCTTTCTCCGTAAAATCATCTCTGCCTCTGGCCTCAATGACAAATTGCTCTCCAATTTCTCCTCTTATCTCTCTAACCACATCTTGGTTTTCCTCACTGGATCCTCCTCTTCTTCCCATCTAATATAGGTACTCCTTTATCTCTTTCTCCGAGTTTTAGAGATCTGCCTTTATCTCTCCATGATGCAAGTCTGTTTGATGTCATTATCTCCCCAATTTCAATTGTTATCTTTCTGTTACTGTTAGCCGATTCCTAAATCTATACCTTCAGGCCTTTCTTATTGTCAGAGATGTTACATGTATCTCTTTCACTAGAATATAAACTATGAAGGGCCTGTACATAATCTATGGTAAACATTTTTAAAACACATTTTCTTGCACAATTTCATCTATATCATAATAACTGTCCAATACACATGCAAAGTCTTTATTCACAAACAGAAATGGAAACCTATATTTGGCACTGTTCTAGACAAAATATTTTCTTTGCAT